AGCGGAACACCCTGTGATCGGTTCCGGTTCTGGACTCAGATTTGTCACCAGCGACATCTTGCGGCCTTTATCTGGGTTCTGAACGTGGATTACGATCGGCGACATCTTTTGGCGGAGCAGCAGCAAACCATATAGCGGTTCTGCACCGGAGCAACAGCAAAACTTATGCCGGTTCTGGAACCGGTGCAGCACTAACATGTTCTTTTTCAATATACAACTATATATATATTTAATAATTTTCCCTATTCCGCTGCTAACATTTTTAATGAATAAATATCAAATACGTTTAATTTTATAATGATAGTATATACATACATATGTGTTTTATTGTTTTATTTGAACATTTTTTTATTGAATTTATTAATCTCACATATGAGATTTTTTGGTAATTCTCTAGGGTGGGGTAACAACCCTTAAAAAAGGTGCGGAAAAGTCGGGAGGGATACCAAACGACGCGTTTCGGCCCCCCTAATCCGGAGGGGGGGAGATAATATTATTAACCATTTAAAAGTTATGAACAAAAAACTTTTGTTAAATTTCGTTTTTTTCGAAGGGCAATTACCACGTCAAAAATGCACTAAATCACCAGTTTCCACTTTTAAAACACTACTAAAACATTTCCGATTATTATTTTATGCAAACCAAATCATTTATTCACTTCTATTTTATATAATAATAATAATAATAGATTGGCGCTTACACATATGTTAGTGTTTGGCCGAGCTTCTCCTCCGATTTGTGGCGTGCGCCTTGATGTTGTCACACAGAGCGGAGGGACCTACAGTTTTACACCGACTCCGAACGGCGATTGTATTTTTATGAGAAGCTGTTTTTCATGGCACAAATACACTCGGAGGTTTGCCGTTGCCTGCCGAGGGACGACCGCTGTTAAGAAAAAACCTTTTCTATATTTTTTTTGCGATGTTGCTTTGACCAGGCTTTGAACCCAGACGTTGCGGAGTGGAAGCGCGCACTGCTTACCACTACACCACATATATATTTCGTTAATAAAACAGAGTAAACCAACTTTGCGCCTGCTAAAATTATTATAACCTCAAATCGCTGGTATTGCCACTTTATTTCACATCTCATTTGCGATATTATACTCAGTTTACACTATACACTTCATCTTCTTCTTCTTTTTACTTTCATCTAAATAAGATATTGTAACCAAAATATAATAGCAAATTTCGCTATACCATCGCGCGGTTTTTTATTAAAAATTTTCATTATTTATCGAGGTATTGATTTTTATGGAAAAAGCGACGCAGGCGAAAATTTTTAATAAAAAATCGCGCGATTTTTAAAACACTAATATATTAGCCTATTCATCTTTTTAATAATATAAGAATAACCTTGATCTTGATTTCATCATCATTGTTTGTCTAATAAGTATATTAATGCCAAGTGGACGATAACGAGCCCACATAAATATTAAAAAAAAATGCTAAAATGCTAAAAAATGTTTGACTTTCTGAAAAAAGGTTTTAAGTTCACTTTTTATGAAAACTCATATTTTGATATATGTAGGTGAAAAATCTATAATTTCTATGAGTTAATAAAGTTATTACTTA